TTTTGGAGAGACCAGGTCTCACCATATTGCCCAGACTGGTCTCAAACTCCTGGACTCAAGCTATCCACTTGCCCTATTTTCTATTTTGTTTTACTATAAATACATATAATTACTAAGGTATGAAAAAACAAGAAGAATTAGTTTTAGTTAAAAAACGCTTATAACATAAACTGATTTTTGTAACTATAATTTTTCTTTGTAACCGATAAAAGAAAAAAAAGGTCAAATCTTTCTATATTGCTGTTTTACTAGAAAAAGAAACAACTGGCAATAGTCCATATAAATAAAACATTTCACTAACATATAATAAAAACCTCAATTGAACAGTAGTTCAATGGTTTCTGACGGTTGAAGACAGAGGTGTCCTAGATATAAAGGAAGCAAAGCTCTCATTAGGCCTATCATGTTGTGAAACGGAAGCAGCCTTGAAAGGAACATCAAGTGACATTTCAGGACTGAAAAAATCAACTGACATTAAGAAAAATCAAATTAATGAAAGCAAGGAAGAAGAAGGAATTCCTAGGAAAAGATGTGTTTGCTCGACAGAGCCGGCAGTCGTCCCATGCAGGAGGCCGGGCAGGCAGGGCGGGAGGATGTGTGTGCCAGCCACTGGCCGCCTCTGGTGTGCTGGGACAACGTGCTTTCTCTGCCCACTTTCCCCAGGTCTTCCACAGTGGCCTCACCACGCAGGTCACAGCTTAATGAGCACCACGCCAGAGAAGGCCCACCTGCTCTGAAGCCCTGCAGGGTTCTCTCTGTTCCAGTGCCCAGCTTGATTTTACTAACAGTGTTTACCACTATGCAACTGTTTCATTTATATGCTTATGCCTGTCCCCTCCAATTAAGCAGAGGCCAAGGACGCTGGATCACCTGTCTACTTGCTCTGTGACAGCAGGGGTTGGTGCACCAGCTTTGACCATTTGCTGACCGTAACACTTACCTTGCTACCTTGTATATATACATATATATATTTTTTAGACAGAGTCTCACTCTTTTGCCCAGGCTGGAATGCATTGGTGCAATCTCGGCTCACTGCAACTTCTGTCCCCCATCCCGGGTTCAAGCAATTCTCCTGCCTCAGCCTCTCAAGTACCTGGGACTACAGGCGTACGCCACCACACCCAGCTAATTTTTGCATTTTTAGTAGAGACAGGGTTTCACCATGTTGGCCAGGCTGGTCCCAAACTCTTGACCTCAGGTGATCCACCCACCTCAGCTTTCCAAAGTGCTGGGATTACAGGCATGAGCGACTGTGCCCGGCCAAAATAAAGAGCGATGAGATTGAGTGTGAATAATAAGCACTGCATTTTCCAAGTTTCATTTCAAACATAATCATTAAGGTTATTCTTCTGTAAATGAAATTTACTCTGCTAAAAGCCCGTGCCCTCTTTGAAAAAAGCCTGGTCAAGAATATGCAGGATGATGTGCTAGAAGAGAAGCGCCCTTTCACTACTGCAGTAACGCCAGGAAGGCTGCGGCCCGGAGGTCTAGTGCAAACACTGAGTACAAACCAAACAGGGTGGCAAGCCGAGAGCAAATGCCAACTAGACAAAGCACGTCATGGATGCGAGAGGGGAGGTGGGCTGACTTAGGGTCTTAGCATTGTTGAGAGGACAGTAAAGATAAAGCTTAACTTTACACTTTACTAAATATTATATATTAAATATCTAAAATTTCTAGGAAAACCACAAGAATGGAAATATAGGGTATCATTTCAAGTTAATAGAAAAAATCGAATTTAAAAACTCAAAAGGTTGCAAGGAAGAAAAGAAAAATAAATACAGAAGTAAAACAAAGAGCAAAAATAAAGTGGCATAAATTAATGCAAATAAATTATTAATCACAGTAAGTATAAAGATGGTAGCATGGGATTGAAGAAATAACACTACCACCAAGCTAATGCTGTTTATAAGAGATTTTCATTCACCAGAATAACAAGAGCTCTTCTAAACCTGTAAGCAACTAATAACATAGCCTCACAATATATAAAGCTAGAATTCACAAAATGGCATGGGGAAAAAGTACAAATTAATTCATTATTATGGTGAGAAATTTGCACCCTCTCAGTAACTAAAAAGTTAAGAGTTTTTCTTTTTAAAAAGACAGTAAAGCACATAAATAATATTAAAAATTATAATAAAGAAGGTCAATCTAATGGCTATTTATAGAGCAATTCAGGTAAAAAAAATATATATTTTTAAGGCACACATGGTATATTTATAAAATGACCCTGTACCAATCCACAAAGCAAGTAGTAACAAAAACAACATGCTATGAGGCTCTGGAAGCAACTTCCAGGAGAAGAATCCCAAAACATTCTGTGTCATGAAGCTCCAATAAAAATGAACGTGTAACCCAATATAACCCAAAAGCCTTTACCTAAGTGTCTATCAACCTATTTTGGGTGTGGAAATACATTTTCTCCATAGGAAAAACATACGCCACCCTTGAGACAGGTTCTGAAGCTGGCACAAACATGCAGATGTGCCAGTGCCCTAGGTGGAGCTACTGAGAACCAGAGACTCCACTCCCCTTCACCAGAAGGTCTTCAGGTGAGCAAGGCTGCAGTGTCAGGATGGGGCCCATGCAGCTCTAGATGCAGAAGCAGCTCCTCATCTGAGTCAGTCACTGAAGCCTGTTTGGCCTACGACAGGCATTCCAGAATGCAGAAACTAAGAAAAGCAGGGGAAATGTCTTATTTCCTCCTCCACTTGATGGCTAATGAATCTTCTCACATGACACTGGACAATACAAAAATGGAGACCAGGGTTCACTTCGTGTGTGTGGGGAAAGAGACAAAGGAGGCTCTTGGGGAGTGGGTGGCATCAAATGGAGGAAGCTGGTAGACAGAAGAAATGAGGGAAGGGCCTAGGATCAAGGCGAGTATTTAGGCTGAATAGCAAATGAGAACTATCTGAAGGACCATCACATCCGAATAAGTAAATTCTGGCACGGCAGTCAGAGAATACACACAGGTTAGGTTATAGCTATACTTTGTTTATAGCCACTTAGCCAGTGCGTCTTTGGAGGACAAAGATTCTATCTCCAGAGTCCACTTGTGGCACTCAGTACATGCTGGCACAGGAACTGTGACATCTGCACTTGGGCCCTCTGAGCAGGGCAGGGCCTTTGTAACAGGTTCATTCAACAGATTCTCACGAAGGCCCTGCCACATCCCATGCATGCCCTGTTCTAGGCCCTAACTAGGACATGACAACAAACGGGCCACACAAGGCCTCTGTTCTCACAGGGCGTGGTGAGAAGAGAGAAAGCGGCAACAACAAGATAAATGTCCCAGAGGTCTGCACAGGACTCAGTAGGCTGCTGTGACAGCAAGTAGCTGGCTGTTTCTTGGTCTGTACCGAGGAGGAGACAAAGGCAGCCTCTCTCAGCATGAGTATTTAGGGTGAAAGCCAAGTGACAAGACAAGACTAGCACAGAATGATGAGGTGGAGGAGCACTGAGGCAGAGGGCACAGCAGGGTGGGAAGCAGCTGGCACACAGGGACGGTGGCTGTGTAGTGGGAGAGGAGGCGGAATCTGAGCCTTACCAGGTTCAATCCACAAACCAGGCTAGAACAGCCGTCTCCACAGTCAGCTTTACGGAGTGCGGAAAGTCGAGCTCAGCAGCAAGTCACGCAGCCGCAATGAGAAGCTGCTGTTTGCTGCGTACTCTCTGCACAGGTATGGCCACCTGTGAGCCAGTTAAGGGAGCGCCCACAGGACTCTGTGCTGTGACAGGCAGAGAGGAGGCTGATTTCCTGTCTCTCAAACAGACTGGGTGAGAGGAACTGGATTCATTCCCAGTGACCGTCTTTGAGGGCAGTGCAGTGTGCGTGCACCCCAAGAACAGATTATAGCTCAGATACATATATATTTTTTTAGATGGGGTCCCACTCTGTTGTCAGGCTGAAATGCAGTGGCATGATCTCGGCTCACTGCACTCTGCCTCCTGGGTTCAAGCGATTCTCCTGACTCAGCCTGCCAGCTCTGATTTTATGACATTAAGTAAATAGAAGAGACGTCACCTTTTAGAGCAAATTTTGGAGAAAGCTGGTTTACAAACAGAGATGTCTTTCTCTTCAAAGTGGCTACCTTCTTGAGCCTAACTGTTCTATACTGTTTGAGTCCATTCTCTGTTACAAAAGGTGGATATTCTAGATTAAAGTTCTATTTAATAAATTCATTTAAAAATATTTCTGCAAATATTTTTAAATGAATTTATAAATTTTTATACGGTACCTATTAGTCTTTAGATTAAATAGGCATCTAATATTAACTGTTGATATCCCAATCTCTAGTTATGATAGAGGTTAGCATTTTGAAATGATAGTCTATACTAAAACACTGCCTTACTTACTTAATATTTTATCTAACTTGGCAGACATTAGATATATTAAATAGAACTTTAAGATGCTAATGATTCTGCACAGGTCAAAGGGCACTGGAAATTTAAAAGTCTACCAGCAAAAAACAAAGCTAATTTTGTTCAATTCCAGTTTATGTTTCATCAGGAAATAGCTTGTGATTCTTGAAGAGTACACCATTAACACATTCACATCAGGAAAAGTCTGGCACCTCTCGATCACTCTACCAACTGATGACGTCTCCCCCAATGTTTCCACAGAAGAATGCCTCCTGATTCCTTGGAACTCCTGGCTCCTACTTCTCTGGCTTTGTGTGGATAATTTCTTTCACACTCAGAAACGTTAGTTTAATAAACCAGACATTGGTTTTATTTTCATTTTCAAACCTACCTTATGGGAATGATGTAAGAAAAGAGGAGAAGGAACCGAAAAAGGTTGCGGTACCACGGACCCACAAATCCTTGCAAGGTTACCATAACGACGGAAAGAGCAACTAAAGCCAAAAATAGTGCTTTTGTCAGCCGGTTGAGTTCAAGGTCCAATAAACCAACCTGAAAGAAAAAACATCAACATGAACAAGCTAAGCACAATGTCCCCGATATTACAAATCAGAACACATGACAATGATGATATTAAAAACACACATGACCAAGCTAAGCACAATCTCCCCAATATTACAAATCAGAATACATGATAATGATGACATTAAAAACACACATGAACAAGCTAACCACAATGTCCCCAATATTACAAACAGAACAATATTACAAAATGACAATGACACTGAAAAAACCAGGATTATTTTGGTATTGGCCTTTATTATAATGAAATATGAAACTGTTACTAACTTTTCTCCTGAAACACCTTTGACAGATTCAAGCAGAATTTCTAGAAATGAGTCATGATCCCCAGAGCATTTCCAGAAAGGGTCTACTGACAAAACACCAGGACAGAGCACACAGCTGTAGCAAACTCAGACGTGGCCTCTGGACGATGGTGCACTGGTCACCCGCTGGGGCAAAGTGAAATGCAAGCCTAGAGAGGGCACTGGAAGCTTGCTCAGGGCTGGGCCTGGAGCAGAGAGCTCTCAGAGCCTGGGTGTGTCTTCCTACGTGTGCTGTGCCATGGCCATGCCTGATAGCCACGTGGGTGCCTCTGCACATTCCCCGTGAGGATTCTACTCAGATGGAGAGTTCTCAAGAACAGGACAGAATGTATGTCTTTCCCACCTACCGGTAGTCTCTCTGAAAGAACTTATCTTACAGAAAAAAAGCAATAGACAGATAGCTTATAATGAAAACCTTTCTAATTTGCACAAATCCTACATTGTGTGTTCTCCCAGTAAGGTACACTATACCCAAGCCCATTCTATGGATCATTTACCTGCTAAGCAAAATGTGAGGGAAAATTATGGCAGTAAGAGTCAGTTCATTTTGTTGGCTGCATTCTGTACAGGATCTTGGAAACAGTGAGAACTAGCAACCCACACAGCTCTCTGACCATACAAGTTAAGAGAATATAGTTCTTTTGAAGCATGTACCTTCAATTTTGAGCTCTAGCAATCGCTATGAACTGTTTCTCCTTTCTTGCTTTCAGCCCTGAAAGACCACAAGGCAGCCCAGCAAGTGGGGTTGGGGAGGAAAGTGGACTTGCTGCAGGAAGGGAGGAAGAAGTGACACAGCACAGCAGTTAGGATTCCTTGGGACTCTGGATTCGGCTAATGTAGATGCTGGCTCTGCCATATCACGGCATACCCTCGGGCAAGCTATCTGTAAAACAGGGACTGTGGGAGTCTCTTCCTTGAGCCCCCGGGGGAATGGGAAGAGGGAGAGCCTGGCACGGGGACCACAGTTCCTGCTAGGAAGCACCCTCCCCACGCACGCACGCTGCTGCTGCTTTTATCACACACTTGGGTTGGAATCCACTTCTTCGTTTACTAAATGTGACTTGAGGAACACCCTTAAACTCTTTGTTAAGCCGCGTTTTCCTCATCTGTAATTGGTGGTAGTGGTACTCATGGAGCAGAGCCGCCAGGGTGAGAGGCCACTGCCTTCGGCATCACTAGGTCAAAAAACTGTGTACTTAACTTACCTACTTATTTCTGATCTACGTGATATTAACAGAAGCCCAATTCCTATTAGGTTAGTTATCTATCTGCCACCTCAATTTCTCCTGAATCTGGAAGAACTTTTGAAAAGGAGTACATGAAGAAAACATGACTGTAAAAAACCTGATTAAAAAAATAAAAAGTTTGAGAATTACAGAACTAATAAATAACTTGGTTTATTTTATAGTGCTTTTTGAAAAATCTGTAACTTTGTCCAATAGAAAGCTAGCCTTTTCCCACAACTCATATATTTAGTTCACATCTGGTTTTGATTAATATTTGCCACAAACTCTCATGAGATCATTAGAACCTACAATTATCAAGCAAAAATAAAACTTTGTCAGAAAGTCCATTAAGTACAGTTGTGAAGAAAACTCAACTAATTAAACAAATAAATTTAAATGTCTACATTTTGTGCTAAACTCTAAGGTTATGAAAATGAGCTAATTTTAAGATTTTACCTGCAAGAAACAGCTAATCTCGTAGGAGACATAAAAAGAACACCAGTGATCTATGCTATAAAACAGAATCATAAAATAGGAAGCTTTCTCTTCTAAGCAGGCTTGTTTTAATTCACTTCCTGCAGCCGACAGTCAGCACCACCGCTGGTTAATAGATACTTCATGTTTTAATCCACTTCCTGCGGCCGACGGTCAGCACCACTGCTGGTTAATAGATACTTCATGGCCTCTCACAACAGTGTAGGGACAATAGGAGTGATGACGAGAACCCCAAAGCCCTATGCCTGGCAGTGCCTAGAGTCCAGGTTCCACGCCCAGCACAGGTGGGGGCACACTCAGCAGGTGGGGCGGCACCTCCTGCACTGTCCTGTGCACACTGCCACTGTCACGGGCCTCACTTGGCCATGGCCACTTCACTGTGTGAGACTCCTAAAAGAGGGCACTTTAAACACAAAGTGTCAGTTTTATGTGAAATAGCTACTCGATTCTAATGTAACAACTGATGAGACACTTTGCCTGCCACAAAAACTCTTCTCCATAATGCAACACAGCAACACAGCCAGCAGCTCATTTTCAGTATAAGCTCTTCAAAGACTGCACATTCCCAACCCTATATTCTCCCAAGAAAGCACACTGCTCTCTAATTCACAGTAGCAGATCCCCTTTCAGCCAAGTAAAATGTCCACAGCAACATCTCGGGGCTCCGGAAAGCGGCTTTTGCATTCCTGGGTCACCACAGAACAGTAACAGCACTGCTCCTCCAGATCAGTCTGAAAAGGAGCGATATTCAACCAGTGCTGAAGTTCCCAACGCTGCCGCGAGTATGGGCTGTGCCTTCCCTTGAGAATGGGGCAGCTGAAGACCACAGCGGCTGATTTATCAGCTCTATTTAGAAAGCACCACAACGAGGACAAATATCATGCAATTTCCGCTACTTCAACTACTACATAGTTTATGCTTGAATTATTGAGAAAAATAGGTTTTTGGATTAAAATGAAGAAAAATTAAGCCAGGGAAGTAGAGCATGTTTCAAAGCCCAGATCCTTGTGCTGTGACAAAGGCGGTCTAAGTTTCAGGCCTCACTGAGGATCAGATGAAGTCATTATTCATTCAGTCAGGGAAAAAAGACTCAATTACCTCAACCTAAAGATGCTATCAATGAATGCAAAGTGCATATTTTACTCTATTCATCCAAATCCCATTAAAAAGTGAAAGGAATGATTTAATCTGGCCTTCCAGAGTTGGTCTTTTTTTTGTAATAAAATAAAGAATCACTGTCTTGCAAAATGCAGAACCACTACCTCACACTTTCCCTGCAACGTCGCAGCAAGGGACTGCAAAAGCAGGACAAAAACACTCAGAAATGAACACAAAGTTTCCTTTCAAAAAAGTGCCACGTAGTGGAGCAAAAGATTCAAAGCAGCCCGCTGCACACCGGCAGGCAGACCACTCAAAGCACTAACACCTTCCTCACTGACAGAGACAGATGCGGGGGATGCTCGATCATTTGCAAGCCAATAGGTCTCCCAATCCCTTTTAACTTAAAGAAGAGCAATAAAACTTGCAGTGGAATAAAACACAACTTTTCAAGAATGGGCTGTGCCTTGCTTTCTTCCAAGCGGCCTTTTCTGAACTATGACTGTTCTTCCTGGAATATAACTTGTAGCCAAGCTACACTATATAGTATAAATCTTGTGGGGTGGGTTTTGTGTGTGCCTGTCAATTTTAACAAAACAGAAGAAAAGACACATTTCAACACTTGGGTTTTTTTTTTTTTTTAAGCCACTTCTATTAATAATCTTAGTGTTCAATTTCTCTGAAATATGCTTTTCTTCAGCTCATCTAAAATACAATCTGAACTCATAAAGATATTTAAAATAAAAAACAGTTAACTTATAAAGTTACAGATTCTACAAAGAAGGTTGTAACTTTAGTTCTGATGTGGATCTCTTCCTTCTTTAAAAATATCTTCAATATCTGGACAGAGCAGGTATCTTTTGCCTTGACTGCAAACTTTTCACCCATAAAAAATATGAATCACTTGAAGCAATTATGACTAAGAAAAGGTAACATACTTAGAACTCATTTTCAACATTCATTGTCATCTCTTATATTAGTAAAACAAATTGTTTTCTACTTGTCATAATATTTGTTTTATTTGAAACAACTGTGATAACAAAATTAAATACGCTACTGGAAATTTTAATCTCCAAGGGAAAGTTTGTGTATGATGTTAAGACAACCACAATGAATCTGCAAAGGGGCTGTTCTAGGATAATGAACACAATAATTGCCTGTATAATCTAAAATGCTACTAATGGCAACAATCACAAATCCATTTAGCTCCTCTTTAATTTATGTACCAAGTTTTAAATAGCTAATGGTTCTCAGTAAAATAATGGTTTATACCAACAATAAAGGGTAAATATGGTATTCTCCTTGCTTAATCAAGAAAAGATCAGTCAGGCTTTTTTTTTTTTTAAATGAATGCTCAGACGAGTGAGAATCGGACCTTATCTCCATGACACAGCAACGCTTCAATCCATTTCAAAGTGAAAACTCACATCATACTATGAAGTTCCTAAGAAATCAATGTACACAGCAAACTGGAGCACAAGTCGAATACTGTAAAATTTCAGGCCTCACTGATGATTAAACAAACTGCCTGCATAACACTCACTTCTGGTGACATCACCCCAGGTTAACAGGATGTCGGCAACAAAACACTCTCACCACCCATCTTTTGAAACTCACGCATACTTATTCCTTACAAAGAAGTAGTTTAGAATAGTAAAATGCAGAACTTCAAAGAGCAAACTTAAACTCTTGTAGAAAGCTAAATTATTTTGGTTTGTGCTGCAGTTTCCCTGTGAATGTAAGATAATCAGAGCCCCCACTCTGATACCTAATTCATTCATGACCACTGTGCACAGGCAGAGAGGTTCAGCTTTGTACATTGCTGACTGCGTCAGGAAGAACGCAA